AACTGTGGAGGAAAAACATTTCGTCAAGAAGTAGGGCATCCCCAAGGGCACCATTTGTGCTACCCTCCTTGCGGATGTGTTTCTATATGCATATGAATCAGGATGTCTGTCTGGGTTGGCAAAATCAAAACAAAGTAATTCTGCCGAGAGGTTTAACTTAAGCTTCCAGGTATATGATAATATAATATCGCTCAATAGCCATCAAATAGCCAATTCCCTTCCACTGATTTACTCACCTGAACTTGAAATTAAGGGGAGAAGTGAGACCGCCCCAACTGTTTCATATCTAGATCTATGTCTAAAGATTCAGAGAGTCAACAATATGTGAAATGCGTGACTTTCTCATTGAAAATATCTTTGTAAAATATTTGGGTAAAACATGTCGACATGGGCATCAATTGTGGATGTGTTCTGTATGTATATGAATCAGAATGTCTGTCTGGGATGGCAACATCAAAACAAAGTAATTTGGCCAAGAAGTTTAACTTCAGTAGCTCCCTTCTATATGCGTTTACTCGTCCCTTTGGTAAGTCTTGAGCTATCCTAGACACGTGCATATGTAAGTGCAGGATTACCGTATATTTCATCCTCTACAATGATCCCCGTAGTCCTCGATATACGGACGGGTAAATATGTAATGATCCCCGTACTCACATGCGCTAGAACAGGCGAATCTGTAACGATTCCTGTAGTCACCGATATACAGCCGGGCAAATCTGTAACGATTCCTGTAGTCCCCGATATACAGCTGGGGAAATCCGTAACGATTCCTGTAGTCCCCGATATACAACCGGGCAAATCTGTAACGATTCCTGTAGTCCCCGATATACAGCTAGGGAAATCTGTAACGATTCCTGTAGTCCCCGATATACAACCGGGCAAATCTGTAACGATTCCTGTAGTCCCCGAGATACAGCCGGGCAAATCTGTGATAATCACCACTTCTGTGATTTTATCATCTGGATGTGATTGAGCGGGGAGTACATTCTCAAATAACAATAGACTCGTCCGCTTTTCTTGTGCGAGATCCTACTGATAGTCAAACATAAGTCAAAACGTCTACTCTACAAACCGACTGTTTTTAATATGTTTTTAGAAAAGCAGGGTAGGAATATAAATCCATTTCCGATTCGAAACTATTATACACATTTAAAGAAATGCCCTATTTTCCCTGATGTAAAATCAGAAGTACTGAACAAATGTTTTACATATACTCGGCGTCATTAATGAAGGGTCAAACTATTGGTAACACTATATCTCACAAGTTGTAAAATCTTCGTTTTGGTTTGAAATATATACAACTGAATGTTTTACAAACTTTCTTAACAGTATGGAAAAAGACATCAGACTGTAGAAATGTCACTATTACGTTTTTAACGTCAGATACATTCTGTTACAAATGACACATTCTTACTCAAATTGGCAATACGGAAATCTACCTGCCACTTTATGTCAATGATTTGCACGTGCAAGTCGCTCTATCCATGGAAAGTGGAGGACAATACACATGCATGGATGCTTTTTCACTGTTGCTTGTCGTAAGAAGCGACTAACGGGATCGGGTGGTCAGGCTCGCTGACTTGATTGCCACTTGTCATCGTATCCCAACTGCGTAGAACGATGCTCATTCTGTTGATCACTGGATTGTCTGGCCCAGACTCTATTAGTTACAGACCGCCGACATATTGCTTGAATATTGCTGAGTGTGGCGTAAACTTAAACTCACTCACTCACTCACATTCTGCGTGGGAGGTTCAGCCATCGTTCAGTTTCTATCTGAAATCTAAGATTTCTGGTACAAAAAATAGAAAAAAGAACTAAAAAAAACAACAACCAAAAAACCCCCAGATGGCTTTTGAGTTGTATCGCCCCTGGCACAGCAATATTCTGTGGTGCAATATATGGCTTACTGTCGGGACACACGAGCTTCTGTGTCCGTGTCAACCCAGAGACGCGCAAACACGACCTTTGTGTTCACTACCGACTACAAATGAATATCTACACCTGCCTTTGCACTCCATTTTCAATTCCCCTCAAGCACCAATATATTTATTTGTCTCCGTCAAAAAAATATCGTCTTCTTTACAATTGGAAAGCTGATGCGTGGGTCGTGCTGAGATAAACACTCACTTCTGTTGTGTTTGCTCTGAATTGTCTCTAACCACTTCATTTACTTGTGGGTGGGTGGTGGCAGTAGGGTAGCCTAGTGGCTAAAGCGTTCGCCCGTCACGCCAAAGATCCGGGTTTGATTCTCCACATGGGTACAATGTGTGAAGCCCATTTCTGGTGTCCCCCGCCGTGATATTGCTTGAATATTGCTAAAAGCGGCGTAAAACTAGACTAACTCACTCACGTGTATGGTTGTAACGGGGATACTGTCAAAAGCAGCGTTAAAAGGTTACACATGTAACGTAGTTTTGTAACGATGATATTAGAAATGACGTTACGTGGGTAGTCAATTGAATTATGATCTATTCCGTGCTGGTATAAGAGATAACACAAGTTGTTCTTGTGCAAATGTTTGTGAAAATTCTTATCATTACCTATTTGATTGTCAATTATATACTCTGCAGAGAGCTGCCATGATGTCTAATTTACGCAGTGTTACCAATATTAATATGAATTATGAGTTACTATTACATGGCAATGCAGATTTGACTGTTCGCATAAATCAAAACATATATAAAATTGTTCAAACATATATATGTCAATGAAAATTATTTTCTTAATTAATGCAATTGTTCCACTGTTCCCTATTTTTCTGTTCTTGTCTGTCCATCTTGTATAAAGAAAGTAAATAATATTTATGCAAATTCTACGGAGAGGGTGTTCTCAGTATGACTTGTACCCAATCCTTTTCTTCTGAATAAAATAGGGTTAAAACAAGCAGCATTAAAACCAACTCACTCACTCTTCATGAAATTATTGCCACCGCCATATAGCTGGGATATTGCTGAGTGCGGCGTTAAACAACAACCAAACCAAACAACAACAAATCATGAAATTATTTTGTTTCTTTGTAGTTAACGCTGCATTCGCAACGTGCACGTGTTCAGGCAGTGGTCACGTGATCTTGCAGAGAACTGCTCATACAATTCAGTGGCATGAAGCCATGAGTGGTGACAAATATTGTTCACACATTAATTTGTCCAGTGCTATTTCTATCAACGTTGAATAACTCATTGATCAACATGTTGATTAACGCATTGATCAAACATATGTACCAGGAGAGCGACACACGACTATCCGAAGGTGTTAATTAGCACCGACTGTGAAGGTAAATCATATTGCATGCCCAGTTAGGAAACATCATCGCACCTTTGCTCCACGTCGACATGTCTAAAGTATGTGCGCGTGACCGGGCAAATCGCGTGGACATCCCTTCGCTTCACACCCAGAGACACACGCACGCCCACTTTCACTCACACATTCTCCTTTGCAAATTCTCCAGAATATCCTGAATCAAAAGGGTGAAAGTTGTTGGTGATGTAAGCTCTTAGATTGTGCTTAATGCACGCAATTAGCAGACAAGATAAATAAACAGATAGATAGATAGTTAGAAAGATAAATAAATAACATGACAACCATATCTAATTGTTATATATGGAAGTATATTAAACGTGTATGTAGCGTATGCATATATCTTGTATGCATACGTAGAGAAACAAATAAAAGAACACAGGTAAATTCAAGTGTTCCTTTAATATTTTCTAGTTTTCATCACAAGCTTTTAATAGCGCTGTGGTGATGAAAACTGGAAAATAATACAGGAACGCTTGAATTTTCCTGTGGTCCTTTATTTGTTTCTCTAAGTATATATATATAAATCACAGTATATTACAGTATATATATTTACACACTTGCATGCACAATTATTGTGTGTCCTTATATGCAGACCGCCTCCGTGGTGTAGTGGTTAGAGCGTCCGCCCCGAGAGCGGAAGGTCGCGGGTTCGATCCCCGACCGCGTCATACCGAAAGACGTTAAAATATGGTACTTGTTGGTTGCTGCCTGACGCTCGGCATTAATGGGTACAACAAGGACTGGTCGGCTCGGAGTCAGTATAATGTGTCTAAGTGGGGTATTCATGCCTCACTGCGGCATGGTATCTCAGTGGGCTAGCACTATAAAACAAGCCGGTTGTCCGGTGAATATTCGGTGAAGGCTTTGGTGTGAGCTATTTTTCTAATGTTTTGTTGATATTTCACAGGCCCGAGCTTTTTATATGTTATTACAGTAGATTACCGATTTAACTGTTTATATATGTTCATTTGTCTATTTCACCACGCGTTCTTCTTACCGAGTCACTTTCTCAGTTCGATACTTAAAAGCAATGTCATTATTTAGAGTCGACAGAATTTCTAACTGTGACATAGATATGTCGTTGTCACAGACAAAACTCAAAGTCTGTTTTATTGGCACCTATGTGTCTGCCTGCCCGTCTGCTAATGACAATATTCAATACACAAATACAATCACTGACCACATGCAATTTGAACTTAACAGTCCTATACAACATAATCAAAACGCATTGATTTATGGCCCGAGTTCGGTCTCTGACACATTATGTAATTACACAGACAGGCAGGTGTGATACTTGTACACATGACATGTTATGATGTCTGTTGATTGCAAAATGTTATACACAAAAAATGAGCATGTATTTACGAAACCCAACATCTCTATATATACACACACAATGAGCCGTGAGGGCATCTGCAAATGAACCAGCCGTTACACTTGAGTGCACACCCACCCGCTCTGACTGGGTTCGGTATGCCGGCTGCTTCGTTTCTAGGGAAGTAAACCCAAGGACAAAATATTGCACTTTTGATTTGCGATTGTACGCTTATAATTTTGTTTATATGTTTTCTCATAACCAGCAATGTATATTATATGTCATGAATAAATGATAATTGTGTTTTAATTATGTTTGATTTTTTGGTTGCATGTGACCTTTAAACAATATTTTTCAATAATCATTTTGCTCTCATTTGCAGAAAAGAAACTGAACGAAAAATACTGAAGCCTCACCCACGTATCATCGATTTCCCATCATCTTCAACACCCAGGGGAACAGACATGTGGAAAAGTGACTTTTCGAAGTAAGCCGCTAAGCTAGTAGGAATTACGAATGGGATGAGGACCCTTATTGTCCTAACAGAAGACCAGTCGGCTCGGACATCTCAAAGGATCAGAACAAGGGCTTCGTGTGAAACAGGGGGCAGTCGGACGCCTGACCATGTGCGATGTTGAGATACTTACCTGGCTTGAACAGCAGTGCATCATACAAAGGATATCGTCTTACAAAAACATCAAGTGTCCTAACATGTGATATCCACTGATTATCAATTGTTCGTCATGTTTGTTCCCAAGATAAATCTCCTTTCTGTTGTAAATGTTCTTAAAAGTATTAAACTTATTCATTTAATACTGCGATATATGCATTTATTCGTGTTCTCGTGGTCCTCATCGTGCTGTTAATCAGGTAGTTATAGGTCAGGCTAGGGAGACATGTGTGATGGAGATGACGGAACCAGTACGATACAGTCAACAATAGTTACATCGTTCAGACCTATACAACTTCTCACACGACAACAGGTACATCTTTCAATCCTATACAACTTCTCACACGACAATAGGTTCATCGTTCCCCCCTGTACAACCTCTTACACAACACTAGGTATACCGTTCCCTCCTCTACAACCCCTCACACAACAATAGGTACACCGTTCCCTCCTATACAACCTCTCACACAGCAATAGGTACACCGTTACTTCCTATACAACCTCTCACACAACAATAGGTACATCGTTACTTCCTATACAACCCCTCACACAACAATAGGTACACCGTTCCCTCCTATACAACCTCTCACACAGCAATAGGTACACCGTTACTTCCTATACAACCTCTCACACAACAATAGGTACATCGTTACTTCCTATACAACCCCTCACACAACAATAGGTACACCGTTCCCTCTTATACAACCTCTCACACAGCAATAGGTACACCGTTACTTCCTATACAACCTCTCACACAACAATAGGTACATCGTTACTTCCTATACAACCCCTCACACAACAATAGGTACACCGTTCCCTCCTATACAACCTCTCACACAGCAATAGGTACACCGTTACTTCCTATACAACCTCTCACACAACAATAGGTACATCGTTACTTCCTATACAACCTCTCACACAGCAATAGGTACACCGTTCCCTCCTATACAACCCCTAACGCAACAATAGGTACATCGTTCCCTCCTATACAAACCCTCAAACAACAATAGGTACATCGGTCCCTTCTACACAACCTCCCACACAACAAAAGGTACATCGTTCCCTCCTCTACAACCTCTCACACAACACTAACAACTGCATCGCTCCCTCCTGTACAACCTATCACACAACAATCGATACATCGTTCCTTCCTATACAACCTCTCACACAACAGTAGGTAACGCCTTCTCTCCTGTACAACCTCTCACACAAGAATAGGTACATCGTTCTCTCCTCTACAACCTCTCACATAACATTAGGTACATAGGTCCCTTCTACACAACCTCCCATACAAGAATAGGTACACCGTTCCCTCCTCTACAACCTCACACAGAAAAATAGGTACATCGTTCCCTATTGTACAATCTCTAACACAACAATCTGTACATTGTTCCCTCTTCTTCAACCTCACAAAGAAAAATAGATACATCGTTCCCTATTGTATAATCTCTCACATAAGAATAGGTACATTGTTGTCTCTTCTACAACCTCTTACACACAATAGGGACATCGTTCCCTCCTGTCCAACATCTTACACCATATATCTCCATCGTTCCCTCCTATACAACCTCACACAATTGGTATAGCCCTCCCTCTTATACAACCCCTCACACAACAATAGGTACATCGTTCCCTCCTATACAAACCCTCACACAACAATAGATACATCGGTCCCTTCTACACAACCTCCCACACAACAAAAGGTACATCGTTCCCTCCTCTACAACCTCTCACACAACACTAACTGCATCGCTCCCTCATGTACAACCTATCACACAACAATCGATACATCGTTCTTTCCTAAACAACCTCTCACACAACAATACGTAGCGCCTTCTCTCCTGTACAACCTTTGACACAAGAATAGGTACATCGTTCCCTCCTCTACAACCTCTCACATAACATTAGGTACATCGTTCCCTCCTCTACAACCTCTCACATAACATTAGGTACATCGTTCCCTATTGTACAATCTCTCACACAACAATCTGTACATTGTTCCCTCTTCTTCAACCTCTTACACCCAATAGGGACATCGTTCCCTCCTGTCCAACCTCTCAAACAACAAAATGTACATAGTTCCCTTCTGTCCAACATCTTACACCATATATCTCCATCGTTCCCTCCTATACAACCTCACACAATTGGTATAGCGTTCCCTCTTATACAGCCTCTCACACAACAATAGGTACACCGTTCCCTCCTGTACAACACTTAAACAACAATAAGTACATCGTTCACTCCTGTACAACCTCCCACACACCAATAGGTAAAGCGTTCACTCCAGTACAACCTCACACACACCAATAAGTAAAGCGTTCACTCCAGTACAACCTCACACACCCTTGAATGCATCCTCTCACAATAATAGTTACAGCGTTTGCTCCTGTATAATCTCTCACACAACAGTAACTACATCGTTCCTTCCTCTACAACCTCAGACACAACAATGGGTAGCGCGTCCCCTCCTGTACAACGTCTCACACAAAAATAGGTGCACCGTTCCCTCATCTTCAACCTCTGACACAACGGTAACTACATCGTTCCCTCCTATACAAACTTTCACAGAACATCGTTCTCTCCTGTACAATCTCACAACACAACCATAGGTACATCGTTCTTTACTTTAGAACCTCACACACAGCAATAGGTACAGCGTTAGTCCTGTACAACCTCTCACATAAAACTAGGTACATCGTTCCCTCCTATACAACCTCTCACACAGCAATAGGTACAGCGTTCTCTCCTGTACAACCTCTCACACAACAATAGGTACAGCTGTTATTTTACGCCACTAGCAGCAGTATTTATATATGCTATGCTTGCTTAAATAATCCCCCCGGAATTCTGTAAACCAGTGGTTAAGATCATGAACAACAATCCAAACCACCGTTGGACAGAGATCGTAGCCTTTAACAGGATACAAGTTCCTGCCACACCATGTATGACAAGTAAACAACGATCCATGGACTCCACAGTCAGTCATATACCAATACATGACGGTGACCTATGAAATAATTCAATCTGAATTAGCAAACCAGAGGTTGATACCATGAGCAACAATGTTGACCGTCTCAGTCAAACATGTCCAACATTGTCACCACCAACCATCATCACAGTTCTTTAAGCATTGCACTTGTAAGTACTCTTCTGTCGCAAACCAGAGGATGTTACCATGAGCAACCATCTTGACAACACCACCAACCAGCATTACAGTTCTGTAAGCATTGCATTTGAAAGTACTGTTCTGTCTCGAACTCCCAATGGGGGTGTAAAACTAATCACATCAAGGAGGGCCAATCGTTATCAGTGATTACAGTAAACCAGCCATCTGATGCCAGGATGTATGATGGTATTTAGAAACAATGAGGGAAATTGGATCTGACACTGCTTCAACAAACACCATCAATTGTACCACGTCAGCTGGAGCTAGTAATAGAAGACGCCAGTCAGAAGAGAACATGAGATAATGAGATAATTACGGGCTGGTATTAAATTCAAATACCATCTATCTTAGTAATACCAGCATCTTAAAACAATCTCAACGGTAAATCTGTTTTAGTATATCCGCTGGGATGAATTTAAGGTATTTAACGATTGTCGGAGGCTGATACTGGACCTAGCACCGTATTGAAGCATTAGCAAATATTTGTAAGTCACTGTGTCAGGTAAATGTACGATTTAGTGTACTGACAAAAGGACAATCCAGGGTCCCTAATACTTCTATCTATTGTTCAATGACATTTAAAACATATGGATGAAACATTCTTATTAAAAAAATATATACGAATATGCTAGTTTCTTTTAAGGTGAGTGAGTGAGTGGTTTTACGCCGCAATGTTCCAGCAATATCACAGCGGGGTCTCACTCTTTTGACCCATGTGGGGAATCGAACCCAGACCTTCGGCGTGACGTGCGAACGCTTTAACCTCTAGACTACCCCACAGCCCCTAGTTTCTTTTAGAAGATAACATGTCACAGCATGGCATTACTTGACTCTGCGAGCCTTTGCTTCCTTTCTTGCTTGATGGCGTATTCATCTTACATGACGTTTTGCTTGAAAAATAGTTTGTTTGTTTTGTGTTTAACGCTGCACGCGATAATTTTCCAGGTTAATGCAGTCTGTAAATAACTAAGTCTGACTGGTTGTTGTTTAACGCTGCACTCAGCAATATTCCACTATATGCCAGCGGTCTGTTACTAATCGAATCTGGACCAGACAATCCAGTGATCATCAGCTTGAGTATCGTTCTACGCAATTGGAATACGATGACATGTGTCAACAAAGTCAGCGAGCCTGAACACCTCTTGGGTAGCTGAAGACCAAGTCTAATCCGGATCTTCACGGGTCTCTGCGAACATAAAACCGCTGCGAAATGTAATACAATGTGCGCACATCAAACTAGATACAGTCATTTACATGTCGGTTGTTATGACGCGTCAACTTTCCTCAGAAATTCATCTGAGTGATGTTACATATAGACTAAGCCGGAGGTATACCTTTTAACAACCTATATTTGGATTATCTACCCTTTAGGAAAAGTGATCGCATGAAATATGTATAAATGGCTCATGGTAATCTCTATTTTGCATTAGCAATACGTGAAAATTCACCCAAACACACATTTTCACGAAAAGTGTAATAATTTCTGGTTTTTTTTGCAAATGGAAAACTGATAATTTATGTTTTCTGCATTAACTGATGCATTAAGTAACTCATTATGTACATCTAGATCTTCAAAAGCGTAAATGATTAGAACTAATGGAAATTATGAACATTAGACACCATTTTAAAAAGAATTTGAGATTTGTACCCCATCAAGCACTTTCGTTGTGGATGGTTAAGTGAACCCCCGTCAGAAAAACCATGGAAACAGAGCATTATATGTATTACATACCTATTTCACCACAACCACACTTTTCTTGAAGAATAGACACACATCTACAACAAGATATAGGTTGTTGCTTGTTATACCTCAGTTTGGGGTTACACCTATTTTAAAGGTGGTATGTGATCCTGCGCATTTAGCAACGTTGGGCACGGAGAGTCCTTGGATGGGTGACCGTGTTTGGCAGCTTGGCAGCTGAGAGTTTCTAGGACTTCATTCCTGCTCCCCAACGAAGCACATGTGATACATTGGTA